AATAATTGTTATCTCTAGAGATTTTGGGTTTAAACATGTCATCTATAGGGATGTCTGAGTGTTCGTTGTCAAAAAATTATTTTTTTAAATAAATAATATCTTGTAATCACCCTAAACTAATTATTTTTAAAGATTTAAAGTTTATAAATCAATATTTTAAAAAATCAAATTCACTTATGATTTAATTTAAGGTTTAAGACGTGGTTATATCTTTTCTTTATTTCATGTACCCATAAAGACGACAAAACCTAAGCACATGATCATGAACATCAACCCTACAACAAAACAAAAATTACCAAAAATTAGGGTTGATAATTTTTAAAAAAAAAAACCTATCACATGAAGACAATAAAATTATCACATGATAATGAACGTCAAATCTATAATAAAACAAGAACTACCAAAAATAGGCTTGAGAAAGATTATATAACTTAAGATTATTCTATAATTTTATTTTTTAAAGTTAAAATAATAAATCATTTGAATTTGATTTAGATCAGTTAGATTCAAATTCGAGGTTACTATCATTATAGATTCCAAGGGCGTTGATTTATTAGATTGACGTCCAAGTTGTTTGTTGTTTTGGTGCAGTGTATGAGGTGTTTGAACGAATGGCGTATTATGGAATATCGTCGAATTTGGTGCTTTATTTGACTCGAAAGCTCCATCAAGGCACCGTGAAGTCCGCCAACAACGTCACCAACTGGGTGGGCACCATTTGGATCACTCCGATCATCGGTGCCTATGTTGCCGATGCTCATCTCGGTCGATATTGGACCTTCGTCTGCGCCTCTATCATTTATATCTGCGTAAGTTCATTTATCTTTCCTCTAAATTTTCATGTCCGATAATTAGCCTGTAAACGAACCGAATGCACACGAACATATTTTTTTGTTCATGTTCGTTCATTAAAGAATATAGCTTGTTCATGTCGTTCATTTAAATGATAAACAAACATAAATGAACGTAAACGAACACAAACGAACGAACATAAACGAACAACACAAACACAAAAAATAAACTTATTCGAACACAACAAATGAATGTAAAAAAAGTAAACAACAAGAATAACAACTTAAAATTCTTTAATATAACCTGCAACTTTAGAGTTAATTTGTTCGAATACAACAAAAACATACATAAATCATAAATAAGCTATGAACATAATAAAGTCTTAAAGTTAGTTTGTTCAGCAAAACAATCTTCTTGAAATCCAAACAACTTCAATAATCTTCGTAACATATTCAACTTGCCCTCTGTTCGAACATAAATGAACGAACATATAATCGAACGTTACGAACGTAAATGAACGAACGACCCTTTGTTCGTGTTCGTTCATTTAATTAAACGAACGCAAAATATTGTCCATGTTCGTTCATTTAATTAAACGAACATTTAATAAAAACGAACTTCCCACTGTACGGTTCATGAACGATGAACGTTCAATTCATTTACAGACCTACCTATAATTAAAGATGAATCGAAAAAAATATAATACACGATCACACTCTTTAACAAATCGATATTTTAACTACTAAACCTGTCAAAGTATGAACGGTTTGAAACCTCTAAAAGTATAAGGACATATTCCTAAAAAAATGTTAAAACTTTGACTAAATACTTTTTTCTTTGTATTTTATTATTGGGCAAAGTATACAAATGGTCCCTCGACTATAAGAAGTAGCTTTGGGTCCCTGATTATTAGAAGTTATAAAATAGTCCTCCTACTATATGATGTTACTTTGTTGAATCATTTGACTATTAAAAGTAAGAAAATGGTCACACGACTATTCATATGTTCCAAACTCATCATTTTCCGGTAAAAAAAATTGCTTAAGCTGGATGTTAACATGCTGACTGAGATATGATAGTCGTTTGGATTATGAATCAGATTTTAGCATATCTCAATCAATAGGTTAACGTTCAGCACAAAATATCAATATTTAACGAAAATGACAAGTTTGGAACATATGAATAGTCCATTAATCATTTTGTAACTTTTAATAGTCGAGAACTCAACAAAGTAACCCTATAGTTGAGGTACCATATGTGTACTTTACCCTATAAGGGATGATTGATGACAAAAAGAGTGTATATTGACTTGAAATTATTGTCAAAATTGTCATGTGAACCACTAATTTTATGTCACAACTTGAATCTTGTCAGTATAAAATCTGCAACTTCTTTTGTCTAATTTGCTAGACAATATTTCTTATCCAAATGGCCCAAACTGGTATATCAGCTTACTCTGGATAGGGTTTACATTTTATTAAATATGTAAGTTTCGAATATGATATAATGGTATTTTTTTATTTTTAAAGATTAAAAGTTAGATTGATTAAATTTTATACTTAGGGGATTGAAAAAGTTGTTTTATCTTTGGAGTTGTTAAATTAGAAATTAACAGTACAATTAAACAAAATTTAAGGAAGAAACCGATATTTTCAAATGAAAATAGTTCAGGGATTCAATTTTAGAAAAATAAAAAATAAGATTAAATTTTAAATTTTGAAATAGTATAGGGACCTCTAACATATTAAACTATTTTTGAAAGTTGAAAGCTAAAGTTATGAACTTATGATTATATAATAGAGATAAATATTAAAATTATTGCTCGACTCGTTAATCGTTAAGCTCTTCAAAATTTTTACCTTATTTTTTAACTATAAGTAAAATCTACTAATACTACATAGAGCTTAATATAAACAAAAATTAACAAATTTAACAAAAAAAATTATTAAAAGAATATATCAAGCAATTTCAAAGTTTAAACTCTAAAGAAAAAATCCATATACATCAAATTAGTACACATTAATAGTAATTTATCATATTTCTTATTATATATTAACTAAATAGTAATTTTATTTAGATGTTTTTTAATAGAATAATTTTTTAAGATAACTACTAAATATTATTAAAAATAATTAATGAACTGTTGTGAATTTATCAAGTTGAGTTGAACCTTGCTCGACTCAACTTGTTAAGGTTTTGAGTCGAGTTTGAGTTCAAGTCAAATCAATCCGAGTCAAATATTAATTGAGTTTTGACCGAGTCGAGTTCAAGCATCACACAGTTGCGAAAGAAAAATGAATTTTTTTTTAAAAAAATATTATATATATTTTTATTCATTTATATAAATATTAATATAATAAAATAATTATATTCAATATCAAATAACTCAGTTCTTGATCAAACAGGGGATGGCATTGCTAACATTATCAGTATCAGTCACTGGACTAAAACCACCACCTTGTCACCAACCCAATGTACAAGATTGCAAGCAGGCATCAACGTTGGAGTTAGCAGTATTTTCGGTGCACTGTATACACTAGCCGTCGGAACTGGTGGCACGAAACCGAACATCTCGACGATAGGTGCCGATCAGTTTGATGATTTCATCCGAAAGAGAAGGCTCAAAAGCTATCTTTCTTCAATTGGTGGATGTTTAGCATCTTCTTTGGTACACTCTTTGCCAACACAGTTCTTGTTTACATTCAAGACAATGTTGGTTGGACCTTGGGGTATGGTTTGCCCACAATCGGGCTCATCATTTCAGTTATAATTTTCGTAGCCGGAACCCCGTTTTATCGGCACAGGGTGCCAGCCGGGAGTCCGTTCACAAGGATGGCTTTGGTCATAGTGGCCGCCTCTAGGAAATGGAGGGTGGCACTTCCTAGTGACCCTAAGGAACTTTATGAACTTGACTGGAGAGTATGCTAGGAATGGGAAGTTCAAGATTGATTCAACACCAGGTTTGAGGTTAGTTTCAAATATAATCAGCTCGATTAGTTCGGTTTCGATTGACGTCGTAATTGAGTTTCGTGCATATAATTGCAGGTTTTTGAATAAGGCTGCCGTGAAAACGGGGTCGACGGATCCATGGATGCTATGCTCTGTAACTCAAGTAGAGGAAACTAAACAAATGCTGAGAATGATCCCAATATTGATTGCCACATTCGTGCCTAGCACAATGATCGCACAAATCAATACATTGTTTATAAACAAGGCACCACCCTTGATAGACGAATGGGGAACTTCCATGTCCCACCGGCAAGTTTAGCCGGATTCGTGACGATTTCTATGCTTATTTGTGTCGTCCTCTACGATCGTTTCTTTGTTCCGATTATCCAAAAATGGACCAAGAATCCGAGGGGCATCACCCTGCTTCAAAGAATGGGAGTTGGCCTTGTTCTTCACATATAATCATGGTGATTGCTTCATTAACCGAGAGGTTAGGCTCGATGTGGCTAGAGAACATGGCTTAGTTGAAAATGCAGGCCAACTCCCATTAACCATATTCATTTTACTTCCCCAATTTGTGCTTATGGGGACGGCCGATGCGTTTCTAGAGGTGGCTAAGCTCGAGTTCTTCTACGATCAAGCACCGGAAAGCATGAAGAGTCTCGGTACTTCCTACTCGAGTACGAGTCTGGGGATCGGGAACTTCCTCAGTAGCTTCCTTCTGTCGACGGTTTCCGATATCACTCAAAGGCATGGTCATCAAGGATGGATCTTGAACAACCTAAACAAGTCTCATCTTGACTACTATTATGCATTTTTCGCAGTGCTCAACTTCTTGAACTTCATCTTCTTCGTGGCGATAATCAAGTTCTATGTGTACAAGGCCGAAGTTTCGGATTCGATGCATGTGCTTACGGAAGAACTGAAGGTGATGAGATTAAAGGCATCAAGTCAAGAAGAGTTAAAGGAATAGCTTGACGGAACAATGTTGAACAATTTTCACTTATACATCATTGAAATGTTGTGTATTTCTTTTTGGGGTTAAACTTGAGCAACGGTTACAATGATAATCACTACAAAATAGGAAGGATTAAGATCAATTATTAGGAGGAATGAATTATTTTATATTAAAAGAATAAGGGTTTATGAAGTATTTAAATTTAAAAATTAAAAGAAAAAACAAAATACATTTAAATGCCTCCTCGGACAGACCTTGGTCCTTGGTGCACGAGGTTGCTAGGCTTTTGGATCGAGCGTGGATGGCTGATTTTGTTCTCATTCGACGAGAGGCAAACATGACGGTAGATTTCTTCTCCAAAGTGGATATAACATGTTGGGTAATCTGACCCTTTATACTTCAATTCCGAATTCACTTGTTACTCTGTTAAACCGTGATATCTTAGGTCCTCCTTATGCCCGTTCAAGGTATGCCTGATGTATGCTTAGGCTCCATTCAATTCCAAAAAAATAAATAAATTGAATTTATATAAAATTTATAACATTTTCTATGGACAAAAATATATTGTGAATGCAATAAATAGTTTTAATAGATTTAATAGTGTTGGTAATACTCAATCCCACATAGTATTGGAAATAATATTAGGAATGAGTATTTATGGTTTGGATTTCTCATTTTCTTGTTGAGTGAAAGAGAACAAGGGGGACTCTCGCGCACCGCTGTCGCCGCCGTTCGGGTCGTGGTTATAATTTCGGGAGTTATAACAGCTGAATAATGATGCAATGAACCTTGACTATTTTTTAGTCGGGTTCATCTAGACGTTTTCAGCTGTTATAAAAGAAGATTTAATCCTGAAATTTTATGAACGATTTTAACTCTATTTCTAGCCTATAAATAGAGGGCTATATTTAGCTTCTCAACTCACTCTTAACATTCAGAATTCACTCTTCAAGTGTTTTCTTAATATTCTCTATGTGTTCTTTCCGATAAGAAGAACAATATCACCGGCAGTCCACTCCGATTTCTGGTGTACGAAATTTGGAGCGACCGTATTAACCTCGGGAGACGGTCCACCTACTGCAACGATTACACATATCGAGGCGAATTCGTTTCTAAGGCAGTGGTTATACCACGACACGGTTTACGAATATGTTCCTTTTAATTACTGTTTATATTTCCAGTCAGTGCTAACGGTATAGTTTTGCGGTTGATATATCCAACAAATAGTATGACACATTATGTGACATGTAAGATAAATTGATGCATAAGACGGACGCCAACACATTTTTATATATAAATCAAACAACTATGACAAACCTAATCCAATATAGGGTAAAATATATTGGATATCACTTAACTTCTAATTTTGTATTGTTCTTATCATTAAACTTTAAATTATTTTAATTTTAGCATTAAAATTTAATTCCGAGTTCAATTAGGATATTGAGCCGTTAAAACGTTAACCATAGATAATGTTACCGTTTCTTTCTTGTGAAATTTAGTTCACAGGTTGATTTTGTCATTAAACTTTAAAACACTTTAAATTTAGGTATTGAATTTTACTTTACATATCAACTTGGTCCTTGCAGAAAATCTTCAGCTCTTTTGACTACATCTAGCGGTCAATAGTTACCTGTAACAAACCATCATTCATGACAAGATTAGTACCAAAATTTTCACATTCCACTCCTCTTTCTTCTCCTCATATTGAATTTCCATGAAACTCACTCAAAATCAACCAAACACAATCTAAAGGTTTGACGCTATAATGTTCTCCAATGACTGTCCGTTGATGTTAGTTCGACGATTTCCATCCGAAAGAGAAGGCTCAGAAGCTATCTTTCTTCAATTGGTGGATGTTTTGCATCTTCTTTGGGTCACTCTTTGCCAACACAGCTCTTATTTACATTCAAGACAATGTTGGTTGGACCTTGGGGTATGGTTTGCCCACAGTAGGGATCATCATTTCGTTTCTGATTTTCATATCCGGAACCCCGTTTTATCGGCACCAGAAGCCCGTCGGGAGTCCAATCACGAAGATGACTTCAGTTATAGTGGCTACGGCTAGGAAATGGAAGGTGCCACTTCCTAGTGACCCTAAGGAACTTCATGAACTTGACTCGGAAGAGTATGCTAGGAATGGGAAGTTCAGGATTGATTCAACACCAGATTTGAGGTTAATTTCAAATATAATCCGCTCAATTAGTTCGGTTTCAAATGACATCGGATATAATTTGTTTAACAGAGTCTGCGTGCATATAAATTGCAGGTTTTTGAATAAGGCTGCCGTGAAAACGGGACCAACCGATCCATGGATGCTGTGCTCGGTAACCCAAGTAGAGGAAACTAAACAAATGTTAAGAATGATCCCAATATTGATAGCCACATTGGTGCCAAGCGCCATGATTGCACAAGTCAATACATTGTTTGTAAGACAAGGCACCACCCTTGATAGACATATGGGAAACTTCAAGATCCCCCCAGCTAGTTTAGGTGCATTCATGACGATTTCAATGCTTATTTCTGTCATCCTCTATGACCGTTGCTTCATTCCGGTAATCCAAAAATGGACCAAGATTCCGAGGGGCATCACTCTGATTCAAAGGATGGGAATTGGCCTTGTTCTTCATATCATAATCACGGTGATTGCTTCTTTAACCGAGAGGCATAGGCTCAGTGTGGCAAGAGAACATGGCGTAGTTGAAAAGAGAGGCCAACTTCCATTGACCATATTCATTTTACTTCCCCAATTTGTGCTCATGGGAACAGCTGATGCGTTTCTAGAGGTGACGAAGCTCGAGTTCTTCTACGATCAAGCTCCGGAAAGCATGAAGACTCGGAACTCTTATTATCCTTCTAGTGTGGGGATCGGACATTTTCTCAGCAGCTTCCTTCTGTCAACGGTTTCCAAAGTCACTCGAAAGCACGGTCATCAAGGATGGATCTTGAACAACCTAAACAAGTCTCATCCTGACTACTATTATGCATTTTTTGCAGTACTCAGCTTGTTGAACTTCATCTTCTTCGTGGTGGTAATCAAGTTTTATGTGTACAAGTCCGAGGTTTCGGATTCAATGCGTGTGCTTACAGAAGAACTGCAGCTGAAGAGATTAAAGTTATCTCATCAAGAGGAGCTAAGGAATAGTTCAAATATATATTTACATGTTACCATCTTAGCCTGTTAAACAATTCCTTCATAAAAATATATTAGCAAGTTTCAATGGCACAAGAATTATTATTTTATGCATCACACATAAATTATTCAAAATATGAATATTAGATCAAAATATGTTGTCAATAGTTGTATTTGGAGTTTTGGACCATAACAACCATGCAAAGACTAGTTCGGAACTTGAAAAAAGAAAATATATGTTTGATATTGAAGAAAGAGTAACAAGAAAATGTTCGTCCGGTGTAGCTCATATGGTAGAGTGCTCACTTCGAATGCGAGATGCATGGGTTCGATTACGTGCACCTCCTTGGTTGGGATCGTTTAGATGATGATCTATCATTTTCGTTTAAAATTTTATCAAATATTTCACCGGAGCAGCAAAGGCTGATCTTGGCCGGAAACAGGATGTTTGTACTCTTGCTGATTACAATATTCAGAAAGGTATTGGTCCTTAGGGCTAAATTTAAAAACCTTTTAGTTTGAAGAACATCAAGAATGTATCACAAAAAGTAACTTTGAAGTAGGGTATGTTACTCGACTGATGAAATATGATTTTTTTGAAAGACAATTACAGCCCAAAAAATATATTTACATGTTTACATTTTAGCCACAAACAACCCTTCGTAAATATATCTGCAAAGTTTTAATGGCACATGAATGTTTTTTTTATATGCATTTACACAGACTATTCAAAATATGTATATTTTGAAAATGGAGCTAAACAACACAGTTTGGTTGAAAATGGAGGCCAACTTCCATTAACCATATTCATTTTACTTCCTCAATTTGCTTATGGGAACAGCTGATGCGTTTCTAGACGTGTCTAAGCTCGAGTTCTTTTACTATCAAGCACTGGAAAGGCACGAACTGTCTCGGTACTTCTTATTCGAGTACGAGTCTGGGGATCGGGAACTTTCTCAGCAGTTTCCTTCCGACGGTTTCTGATATCACTCGAAGGCATGGTCAACAAGGATGGATCTTGCATGACCTAAACGAGTCTCATATTGACTACTGTTATTCATTTTTCACAGTGCTCAACTTCTTGAACTTCATCTTTTTCATGTTGATAATCAAGTTTTATGTGTACAAGGCCGAAGTTTCGGATTCAATGCATGTGCTTATGGAAGAACTAAGGTGATGAGATTAAATGCATCGATGAAATCAAGAAGATCTTAATGAATAGCTTGATGGAACAATGTTGAACAAATTATCACTTATAATCCATTGAAATGATATGTGTTAAAACAAATAAAATTGCCTAATATAGTTAGATCATTGAGAACCAATGGCTTGAATGCACCTGGAACCATAGGAACTCATCTAATAGGCACAATATCAACATTACCTCTCATATATGTCATGCCTTTTTTGCCAACTGGAATGACTTCCTTACGTACTGGTCCGCGACTCGATCATTTCGATGACATAAGACCCTTAGTATAGTGTTCGGATCCGATTTGTCCCACCGTCCCGTTGTTGGAGGCATCGGTAGCTTTTGCCCCGAACCTGCAACGCCTATTCCGCTAGTCTCAGAAGTGACAGTGTTGAGATCTTCCATCAGTTGTTCTGTGGACTGAGACATTAATGATATTACCCCTTCAACTGTCTCGGCTTCCCTTTGAACTTCCTCATCAGATATCAATTCTTCTCCAGAATGATAAAATGCCTTTTGCAAACTGTGGAAATCCTCATCGATCATCTCGTGATCGGTCAGGTTAAATGCCCTAGACGGTCCACCGGCGAGCAAAACCATAAGAAATGCTTCGAAAGATGCTTTCATAACTTCTTTCGTTGCTAATGGTTGAGCTCGATTGGTGACCATTGCATGAAGAAGCGTTAGATTCTGCTTTAGAACTTTGATTGCAGGTCGAATTCTAGTGTTGGTTACTTCCTCCACATAAAGGCCCTCGTAGAAACTAGAATTTGAGTCGAGGAAGATAAGGCGGTAAGCAGCAACTTCTGATACATGAGCACAAGCATCCTGAATAGATCCAATAACATTTTTAAAGAAGGCACATGAAGCATCACGTTGTTCGCATATGCTATCAGAATCGTTTCGTGTTGAACCTTTCAGCGAGCTGGTCAGGGCTTTACCGAGAGAATCGAGATTGGAGATCAGATAGTGCAAGGTATTAAGTCGAATGTAAAGGCGTTGTGTGCCACGGCTCGTTGTTGGGCGAGAATGGCGACCATCTAGACTCGCAATTCGATTCATTTCTTCTACTCCAACAGCGCAAGGAGTGGCCTTTTTAAAGATTTTGAACAACGTCGAATCTCGATTGCATCTGCTTAGAGGAGGAAGTGTAGGGAGATAATTCTTTTTTAACCCTGAAACAAGAAATGATGCATCCAATCAGATCGTCAGATCTCGTCGATACATTGACTTATCGTCGACGAAATCACGTAGGCCTAAAATGGTGCATGAAACACACTGAGATGATTCTCACCACATGAAGCTACAAAGGTAGTGTACTCATGGAAGAGCTGCTCTAAACCTTCAGCTAGTTCAAGAATCAAATCATCTGTAATTTCAACCGGAATTTCAAAGAAATCTTTCGCCGTTTCATTAGCCAAACTAGTTAGCTCCACCGACGATGTCGCATACGGTTCGAATTTGGACTTGGGGTTCCAGGTCTACAGCATAAAAACCAATTAGTAAGCTGAGACATCTCCTTCTCACCTATGAACTTAATCAAAAACAGAACAAATAAATTGACTGACTTCAGTTTCTTTTGCTCTACCAAGAAGATCTTTCCCTTGTTTTAGCCTTTCATCTATCCATTGTCTCAAGAGCCTCAATGTGATCGAATCTACTTCGTATCGATCCATTTCTGTAACTATTCCTTTTCCACCATTCTCACTGTCTTCGGAATCTTCGACCACCATTTGAACCAAAACTTGTTCTAGCTTTGCAGCTCCCTGTAGTACCCCGACCACTTCGCCGTTCAGTATACGTGTCTCGGTTACATATTCCTTCAACAGATCTCCATAGCATTGATGTAGCATCACAACCGCCACGCCGGCTGCAATCGGATGCCAACTCTTCAATACAGGACTAAAAATTGCCCTCTCTTTCTCAGCCAACTCCTCAGTTCTTTTAGTAAATTTTAACATGGTCACACTCGGTTCTTCCCCTTCTTCTTTATTGGCATTTTCATTTTCTATCATCTACAGCGAACACAAAAGAACTAAGGATTAAACAAAATGCATGCCAAAACTGATGTATTTAGTAATAAGATAGTTGCCTACTTACCTTTGTAAATGCATTTTTCATCGAAGATCGAATGTAATGACCGACATGATCACTGGTCGAATCCTCGAGCATTATATCCCGTTCCATGATTGTAGCATCTTCACCTAAAATCTTTGCTGAAGATAGTGCCAGAGGCAAAAGACTATCAATTCCGCTAACACTTGCTTTGTCGAAATATTCGTGGTAACGGAGCAGCCGCTTCTCCGTCCAATCTCGAATCGAAGCTACTATCGAAAACAAGATTTTCACATACATTTCCTCTCTGTCTGGCTCTTGAGCATCATTTTCCACCTCTGTCAACATAGTACATGCTGCAGATACAAGATCGGGCTCGGTTTGATTAGTGGCAACGTATTGCCGAAAAAGCACCCAAGTGAAACAAGCATTGTGAATCGGCCAATCGATCCCCAATGTGGTCCATGTCTTTGTCATTAGTTCGAGCAACTCGTCGACCTCGTCGAGGACTACCGTCTTGTCGTAGGTATCAAATATGCCCTGAAGGAGACAAATGTAGAGGTGGATGTTGAGAGGGAATCCATCAGCCCAATGGCACACATCAGTAGGGAAACCATCGGTATTTCGCCAAGCCAAAGATGCAACGGCGGTGCAGAGTGTTTTCCATGTCTCTGAGTTCTTTGAAGTGTCTATAGGCTTGCAGTCACCGGCTCGGATCGACTCGCGAAGATGCATTGCAGAAGAATTCGATTCGTCTAGAGGGATCGACGGATAAATTAGAAGGGCTGCTTCGAGGATTTTGAGTTGACGCTTTTGCCAAATATGGTACTCGTGTGGATCGTTGAACTCCGACGGTTTTATGTGCCGAATAAGCTCGAGCGGAATAATGATCGTCTCCGGCTTCCTACCCATCTATTCAAACCGACATGGAATTTTACAACATAGAGACGTAACAATCACATTACAACTACTTTTAAGATCATCGTCATATAACAACAACATACACAAATCAAGTCGTAACATTCGTAATGTTGATAAATATTATACTACAATCACAATTTAATACTATATTATAAGGAAATCAATTGAAATGGATAACACGAACAAATAACATGCATTATCGATAAATGATACGTACTTGGCCAACAAGGGTTCTCATGAGAGTCTTCCGAAGCCTATTGTCACTCTGTTCTGATACCCTCATTTGTCGTTTCATGATCTCCACCGCCTTCAAAGATCGCTGAGGCCTTGCTGACGCCGGCGACGTCGACGACTCACTGTCATCGTCTCCACTAAAATCAAAAGCGGACATTGTCATTCTCCTACCATGTTGTGGTCTCTTCACCGTCTTCAACCCCAAATCCCTTTTAACCGTACTCAGAGGCGCATCTACCACCCCCTGATTCGCCCGCCGCCCGAATGATCCCGGCCCTGAGGCTAACGCTAATGCCCCATACCAGGTCCCTTCGTCCCCATCACGCGAAGAATAAAACGTCGATGCATTCCGACTCCCGAAGCCCGGGGACGAACGACATGACGTGAAGAATATCTCGTAAGCCGTTTCGCAAACCTCGTCGTATTCTAGGCCTTCGAGCTCACCAAAAGGCCATGCGAGGTCGGCAATGGTGGAGAGAGCAAGGGGAAAAAATAGCATTGTTTTGTTTGGTAGGTTTGCCAACGTTGTAGTGCCATGACAGGAACATACGTTGCTAATTCACTCTTAACATATAATTTATCGTATTTTTGGAATTTCATTTTTCTACTTTAAAATTAATTTATAAATTGTTTAAGTTATTTTTTTTAAGTTTAGATCTAGATATATTTAAATTGTTAATTTATATGTTTATTTTTTATAATAACTGATTTTATTTACAATTATATATATATATATATATATATATATATATATATATATATATTGGTTATGTTTTGTAATTTTGTTCATATATTATTTTAATTACTTTTAACTTCGTTACTCACTCATTAATAAGATGAATTAATAAAATGTTTTATTATAATAAACCAATAAAAGAATATTTTGATATCAATATTTTTTAATAGTTGCTAATATACTAATATGTAATAATAGCATATTTTGCGATAAATTGTATTATTACGATTAATCACAAAAAAATAAAATTATGTAATAACACTTAAAAGTTATCACCAATAAATTATTTTATCATTACACATTTGATTAAGAATTTATTATGAGTAATTGTGTGGTTATGATTAATATCAATAAAATCAAATTACATAATGTAAAAGAATTGTTGATATTCCTTAAAGTAATGCGTTCGAGTACCAACAATGTTAGAAATATAAACGATCAATGTCAAATGATTTTTGAATAGGTGTTATCTTATACTTACCCTAAATTAATAAAAATAAAAAAAGCGATGCTCATATTACATAATTTAACAACTTATTTTATTATTACGCATTTAATTAAAATTTTATAACGATAAATAATGTTGTCGCGATAAATATCTAAAAATATATATATAATCATTTTTTTATATTTATTGGTCATATTATAATAATTTATTTTATCATTGTATACAATATTTAAAAAAAATAAAACAATAAATTGTGTTATTGTAATTAATATTCTATAAAACAAATTCAACAATCATATTTAAAAATTAGGGTAGATTACACGTTTAATATCTAAACTATTACTTTTGTCCCATTTTGTACTTAAACTTTCTTTTGTTTCAAAATCATACTTAACGTTTATTTTTTATTTTGTTTTTTACCTCACCGTTAGAACATGACACTTTTTTATGGGTAAAATTATATAATTTATCACTAAATTATCTTCTCACTCCTATTTTGAGCATTGAAGTTTAATTTTTTTAATTCAATTACTTAACTTTCAAATCTCCTAATTTAATCTATCTAACTTTCAAATTTAATTTTTTACTTTAACTATATATTAATAAAATAAAAAAATGTCATGTCACAAAAATTATTAATAAAATAAATTAGAGTGATTAAAACATGAGCAATTTGAAAGTTGGGTCATTAAATTGAATTTTTTTAAATTTTAGTGATCAAAATAAGAGTGAAAAGATAGTCGAGTGATGAAAGATATAATTTAGTTATAGAAAATGTCACCTACAACAATTCCTTTAATTTTTTAACGACGAGATACCAAAATGAAACATAAACTAAATGTTAAGTATGATTTTAGAACAAATAAAAGTTTAGGTACTAAAACCGAACAAAAATAATAATTTATGTACTAAACATATAATTTTCTCTAAAAGTTATTATAAAATATTCCAATTTTATGTAACAACAATAATGCCGCCTTTTTAATATACATTTGGATGAAGATAAAAAGTGCGGTGGGCAAGTGAACCACGTAGAGACTAAAACAGCTGCAAAATAAGCACGCAAAAGGTGCGGACCCCAACACTCTGCTTGCCGTGGCCCTGCCTTCATTATCTATCTCCCATTTTCCAAAGAGCAATTATTTATTTTCTTTATTCAACTTTAAAATTCAATTTCATTATCCATGAAATATTAAACATATTGTTATCCAAATATTTATACTTTTTATAATTATATTTAAGTGAAAAATAAATAATAAGTTTAGTAAGCTTAATCCATACCGAATTAAAATAATTTATTTAAAGTCTGGCCTGAATAAATAGTTTAATTTTAAACTACATGTATATTAAATAGCTTGTGGACATACATGCATTTTGGAGAAGACCTCTAGTGATCAATATGTTTCTTAAAGTGATTCATACGTCTTTTCAAAATCGTTAAATGGTCCAAACATATTTCTTAAGATACTCTAATAATCATCTTATGTGAGAAAATGAAGCTTTTTTTTTCAACTCCTAATATAAGGCAATTCTTTTTTATAAATCATTATTTGAGCAATTTTACCATATTAAACATGATGAATTAAAATTTATCTAATTTTTTATAAAATTTATCTGATTTAATTTATTGCTCATTTAAGAAAAAATTATTTAACCATAGTTTTGAAAATAAATATTTATACGAAAATTAATTTTATAAAAACTAAAATATCTTATGAGCAAATCTTATTAAACTTAAACATCAAATAAAATAAAAACCTTTTTAAACTTTAAATGAGGAAATAAAAGCAACCATCGTCAAATGCTTTGTACTATTTTTTCCATGTTTGTCAAATGCATCTTTAAACTATCCCTACTTGGTCCATGTTTTACGCATGCAGACTATGACTACTCTCTTATCAACTAATTTTAGAAATGAATTAGGGTTTGTTTGATTTATTGTATTTATTTTTTGGAAAATTATTTACACAAAATGAATTTTTATATTATTTAAAAATTTTGAAGTTTTTAATTTGGTTCAGTTTTTAACAAAAGATTAATTGAACTGTATCATGCGATTTTTTTAAAAATGATATAGAAACTAAACAACATAAAAATTTGAATTTTTTTGTTCAATTAGATTTTGTAGTTTTTAACTAGTCATCGTTTTTCAAATTCAATATCCAAAAAAAAGTCAAACTTCAAGCTTAAACTTAATGCAAACACACAAGTTTGAATTAAAAAAAATGTTCTTAGTTTTAGGAGTTTATTTATTTATTTTTATCTTACAACAAATTCAAAATGAATTCGATTTCGTGCATTAATTTTTATCTTTTTTATTTTGGTTTTCGTCGGGAACAAACGAGTTTCGTAGGGGGGAATTGAAATAACCGAATTATGAACTTATATATGTAAATTGTATGGAAACCTAGTTATCAAATGAAAATCTGGAACCGAACTGAACCTTATGTTGGAAGCGTAGATGGGCACTCGGTAATTTATAACACTCGAACTTTTATTGATACGAAACAAAATATGTTACAACGACACTACCTCAATATTACAATATTACAACACTAGTTGCGGCTTGTTTACAAACACAACCTCACTATTCTAAGCTTTGCTAAGCTTTACTCAATTCTCTCATAGCTTTGCTAAGCTATCTCAAATTTTCTCTAGCTTTTCTAAGCTTTCACTCATATTCCATCTCATTCACTTTGCATACATTTATATTAACGCTAAAGACATATATTTATAAGGGTAATTAACCTCCTTAATGAAAGATCTAGGCATTTTCAAATTCTTCTTGTATTGCCACATGGAGTTCCTTGTCTTAATGAAATTCTCTTCCATCATCAATTGTCACATGTTTATTTTCCATGCTTAGTTCTTAAGTAATTCAAGATTATGCTTCACTAATCAAGAATCTTCTAGCTTTTGCCACCTTTTGCCAAGTGTGTTGCCAACTTTGACAATTTCAAACTTCATGCAACTATATCATCTTGTTGCCTCTTTAATTTCTTTTCTTTTGCCAACATTGATTTCCATAATGTTCAAGAATTATTCATGTCTTGCCAGCATAAGTAGTAAAATTAGATTTGAATTCTAACACCTTATAGCTCAGTTCATATCATTTTTTCTCGATTTCGGTTTACAGCCCCTAGAAAACAACTCCTAAAAATTATTTTGATCCTAATTAAAAATAATTTAATAAATTTATCTATTAATATTTTAAAAATACTAGCCTTTTAACCTAAATATCATCGTTTTAAAAATTAATTTATAAATTAACATCCATTTTTATTAATTCTCGAAATAGAACTCTTTTTTGTCATGTAAGGAACATGCGTCACTAACAAGGCACAACTTTGTCCTATATGAATTTTTCCTTCCTGTTTTGCGTTTGTAGGACTAAATTGAAAGAATTTTAAAACATAGGAACCAAATGGAATGTTTAGGAAATTGGGGCAAACACTGCATTTAAATGTGATCGGTTGTTCAATCGAGGCAAATTGGGGCAAACATATTGAGAGCCCTACGTTATCTGTCTTCGTAGCTCATTCTCTCTTCTTCGTCTTCCAAAAATCTCGCATTTCAATATCTTTTTCAGGTAACTTCTTCCATTATCCTTATTCAGTTCATGTCATTATCCTTAATATTATTCCAGTTTAAACCTCGAATCATTCTCCTTAAAAAACCAGTTTCATTTAAGTCCAGAAGAAGGCCGAAAACGACAGCATTGATTCATCTTCAACCTTGTTTTCTTTTGGTTTTGTTTCGTTACAGAATCATGAAAGTGGCAGTGATCGGAGGAAGGATAAGTGGACTGGTCGCAGCCTATGTTCTTGCGAAAGAAGGTGCAAATGTGGTGCTTCACGAGAAAGAGGACTACTTGGGAGGCCATTCCAGGACCGTCCGCTTTGATGGTGTTGATTTAGACCTTGGTTTCATGGTCTTTAATCGTGTAAGTTTTTTTTATCCCCGACGCTTTTGAGTTTTTCGTCACTAATATTCAGACGATTTTTAGTATCAATATGAATAAATATTGGATTAAAGGTAGTGATTACTTTTAATCATAATTAATTTTATGTTAGCTCTTCTTTTCGAGATGAATTTCTATTGTTTCTTATCTTACCATGTTATCAAACCAGTACATATTGATCCCATATGATTAGGATCTTTTCCTGATATACATTTCACTGAGTTTTTTTTTTTTTTTCTTTCAAAAGCTTTATAACAATGCAGTTCACAAGTGAGGTTCACTTATTTTCAGGCTGGGATGATTGCTGCAAATAGTTTTCTGGGAAAAGGTTGTAATATTCTGAGCAATCCAAAGCTTATGGTACCCTCTATGATGGAAACCGGAGCACGTCTTTCGTTACTAGATTCCTCAGTCATTTTATATCAACCGGCTCGGTGACGTGAGTTCCTACAGTGTTCTATGCTTTCTTTCTTTTCTGCTCCTTCTTATCTGGTATAATGTATGCATACTTTCATTGTTACGGAATGTGCATGGTTTGAAAGTCTAACTTGTTCAGATCTCTTCATTCAATATAAACCAGCTATGTTTACAGTTCTCTTTTTAATAAAGGGATAGCTCTGCATTTCTGCAATGCACGTTATGCAGTTGAATCAACCATGAACGTTATAATAGAATAGTTAATATCTTTACTTTTTCCACGAACAGTTTATTGGAGGAAGGTGGCACTATGTTTACCTTTGAAGGAACTAGTAAAAAGTGTTCTCTGAAAACTGTATTAAAGTTCACAGTCCACATTTTTATTTGAAGCTAAATACATTTGAAATCAATCATTCAATGAAAATATAGTATGACTGTCTTATGTTACCTTTTCCTACCATCCATTTTCGATGCATATTCAGACATGAGTACAAGGGTATGTATAATCCTCTAAATATATTAACAATAGAACAATTGAGGATGCCTGTTTATCATACGTTATCAGTCAAACGATGGCAATGTGTCTATCTAACGGGATTTACGGACACGATTTTCTTTACACGTGATACTCAGCAAGGGATAAGCAATGCAGTCGCTTTTTCAGGTTATGACAGACGCAGATTTAGGCCTTGCAGACTCGTATATCAATGAGGATTTCTCTTTTGTTGACAAAAATGCTGGTCTTTTAAACCTTGTAATGGTAAGAAAATCGACACGATCATAGCAATGAGTTCATAACTGCTGTCGTTTACTTCCATAAGATTTTCCTTGTTAACTGCAGATTCTTATCAGCAACAGAGATTTGATTGCTTCCAACTCGAAACTGAGAAAAGGTATACCCTTAACTGTAAACCACAGGAATATAGCATCTGCATGTTCTTCACCTAAATCTCAGCCGAGATTGTATATCTAACTCCTTATGTTCAGGGGTTGGTGGACACCATTGTTGCTTACAGCCAGTTTAACATCTGCAAAGTATTTCTTCAAGCACGTCTTAAGGCAAAATACTCTTACACAAGCTCGTAGGAACATTTCTCGCCATTACAATCTGGCACGAGGTTATGACCTATATAATCTATTATTAAGAAGTCTTTGTTCAGGTTTAGAAATCTCTTAGGTGTGTTTGGTTCACGGAATGTAAGATTAGCAGGGAATAAGATTACTGGGAATGTTGTATTTTGTGTTTGGTTGATTTAGCAGGAATAAAGATTATCGTGTTTGTCGTATTTGGTTAAGGAATAAATATTTTGTGTTTGGTTGGTTAACAGGAATATAAGATTACCGTGTTTGGTTAAGGAATAAAAGATTATTAGATATATATTGGCCAAATTATCTTATTATATATTTTTTTTTTTAACAAGTTGAAAAATATTTATATATTTTCTTTAAAAAATTTAAATTCATAAAATTTATATATATATATATATATATATATATATATTTACAAAATTGAAAATATAAAAATGTTTAATGAAAGGGTAAAATTTTATTTTAAGCCCTGAACTTCATATAAAATTTAATTATAGACTTTTTTTTGTAAATCTAAAATAGTTAAGGATAAATTTGTAATTTAACTTTCGTAAAATTTTTATTATTCAATGAAATTACGAGAATAAGTCCCGGCCAACCAAACATGGGAATGTGGATTTCATTCCCATGGGAATCCACATTCCTTGATCCAGGACACTTTAAGATTTTAAAACATACCAAATCCTTACAATTGTCTCTGGTTTTTCTGTTCTTAGAGTAATGACCTTTTTGCGCTATTATTGGATGAAACAATGGCATACTCCTGTGCCGTATTTAAGTAAGACTCACTCTCAATAAATATTAAACAATATTACTTTCCATTTTGTTTTAATTATTTATCAAATAAATTGTTGGTTTTTTTAAATATTTTTCCAGACAGAAGATGAGGATTTGAAAGATGCACGACAGAAAATTTTATTTCTGATAGAAAAAGTAAGTCCTTGCAGTACTAGTACTTTGTACACATGCTTTAGTCCTTTTATCAAAATTTTCATTCCCAATTTTCCAGGCAAAATTTGATAGCAAGCATGAAATTCTTGAGATTGGATGTGGTTGGGGAAGCTTAGCTATCGAAGTCGTCAATCGAACCAGATGCAAACATACCGGCATTACTTTATCCGAGGAGCAACTCAAATATGCAGAAATGAGAGTGAAGGAAGCTGGACTTCAGGTACTCGTCAGATAATCTGGGAATGGTTGACAAAAACTAGGCTTGAAAGTTAACTTCCGAAACACCAAATTCTCCCATTACCTACCAAAACAAATATTAAAATTCTATGTGACCATCTCCAGTGATGATAGAAGCTGTTGGCCATGAATACATGGAGGAATTCTTTGGTTGCTGTGAATCAGTATTAGCAGAAGATGGACTTCTTGTTTTACAGGTAACTACAGTTTTACATTTTAAGTACTTAGGTCGAGTAACATAGATTACTAGTACATTTGTTTTGACTGTGCCTGGGCTGGTTCATGTTACTACAGTTCATATCATGAAGAGTGATACGACGAGTATAGACGAAGTTCGGATTTTATCAAGGAATACATCTTCCCTGGTGGATGCCTACCTTCTTTGACTAGGATAACAACAGCCATGGATGCCGCATCCAGACTCTGGTATGATTACAGTTTTCCCTTAGTAGACATTATGTAAATAGGAATACATTTTTCTTTTTAATTTCTGTTATTACCATTTGGTTATGGATAAAATTGATGGAAGTTGTTGTAATTCTAGTGTGGAGCATGTGGAGATATAGGACTTCGTTACTACCAAACCCTTAGATGTTGGAGAGAGAATTTCTTGGAGAAGCAGAGGTATGCCATTGCCATATGAAGAATCTTCCAAATGCACAAAAATAGTAAAACAAAATATCTTCTACCTAATTTATCAAACACATACTCATATCCGACACTCGCACACGAATTCAATATGGATAAGTAGGGCATAAACTATATACATTATTTCGAAACTTTTTTTATGGAAGTTTGCATTTTACTCCTCTGTTCATGGCAAAATCATTGCCTTGGGATTTGACGAGAAGTTCATTCGGACATGGGAATATTATTTTGATTATTGTGCTGCTGGATTCAAGTCTAATACTCTTGGGAATTACCAGGTGAGTTTCAAGTAACTGCACATTCTATGTCATCCATGGATTTCATTTCTCCTAAAATATTTTCGATATGATCCTATAAATAACATTAGAAATGGAAATAATTTGCATTTGTAGGTTGTATTTTCTTGGCCTGGAAATGTAGCTGCACTTGGCAATCCATACAAAGGCTTCCCCTCGGCATCTTAGTTTATTCTTTCTCCACATTTCAGAATTGTACCCTAATTAGAGATTGTAGAAAACTTAAACTGCAAGTTCATTTTCATTCTATTATTGAATAAAATAAAATTAAAACATATTTTTTTGATGAATGTAATTGTAAACCAAGGTTTGTCTTAGAATTCTACATGCAATATGTTATGTGTATCTTCCACGTCCGTTTTACAATCATTTGAGAGCATTTAGAGTGGTTTCTCAACACCATGGTGATTTCTGTGCACCGCATATCCATACCAAGGTTTCATTCACCATATACACTAATTCAAGGCTGCTAAATCCAAATAGATGCTGTGCAACCATTGCCGATCAATGACCTTCAACCAACCTTTTCGACCCTCATTGCAATAACTAAAGCAAATGTATCAAGTACTACACAAACTTGATTAGCTTATAACTTCCTAGAATAATGAATAATTACGAATAATGCGAGGTTACCAGCAGAATTTAATAAAACTTAACCTACTGCCAGTAAAATGGAAGATAGTCCCCTGCATTAAATGTTGGGCAGAACTCAATTAATTCATTCCAAAACTAATGCGAAGGGCATACTCTCTCCCAATGCTATAAGATCTACTCCAAGCACACTCAATGATTAGAGATTACTGCAATCTTGATCTGCCAGATCCCCCGCAGTTTGCTTCACTAATCCAATTCCATCTTGAATAAACCCCACAGAACCTGGATGAAGATTGGGGAAACTTTTGAATTTGCAGTCTTGGGGCAGCACCAAGGAGGGGAACGGCCTCTCTCGTCTCATGTTAATTCAAAATTTCAACCGAGCAAGTCCTCTGCCAAACAAACCCCACACTGAACAACCCCACCACAAAGCTCAGGAAGAGCCATGAGTCAACACTTGACTCCACCTTTGAGCTCTCGAGCATCTTTCCACCTGTACAAGGGCAAATACAGGGGGAAAATGATTATGCCATCCTCAAGTGTCAACTACCACTACATTTAACGCTACCACTACGAGTGATCAACCCAAGTGGCCCATAGCTCCACTGCTATCATTAAAATCCTTGGTAAAATCTCCATATCCTAATAATCATATCAAATCAAGCATGATTACCTATCATCCAGCTTTCCTAGATGATATAAATAACAATATACTCAAAATAGAAAGATAACGCAAATTTAAGTTATATAAGCTAACATAACTTGAACACCACCATAGATAAGAAATGTACTGGAGCGGCAAGAAAAAAAAGAAAATATAAAGCAAGCCAAATTAAAACTACACTCAGTAGCACAACTGAAGAAAGGCATCTATTATGCCTAAAGTACTTATTATGACTAGCAAAATAGATACTGCAAACTACAGGGTTTCAAGCAATCCAACCGGTCCCAAGGAGATTTGGCATCCAACTTGAGCCTCCCCTGTCACTGCTGGGAGTAAGAAACCATCACAATTACAAGACCAAACTGCAAAGCGAAGGTTATGCACAGAAGAGGTCAAAATCAAGTTGTCTCTCACGAATTTAAATCACTGTTGTTGAGCTTGTTGGCCCTGTGCACCAGCGTACCCCCACCATAACCGCCTTGTCCTCCATGAGCTCCCCCATAATTTCCAGAACCTTGGGATGAATCATACCTCCATGATGCATTACCATACCCTGAACTTCCATTTGCATCACCGTATCCACTTCCCATGTAACCACCACCACTCCCTTGTAGATCTCCCCCACCCGAACCAGTATTACTATTTGGAGTACCACCAGAACGACCTCCAGCTGCCCCATATCCAGCATTCCATATGATCCATCACTTCCTCCATACCCACCATATCCATAACCTTGATTCCCATACTCAGCAGCTCCAGTAGGAGATTGGCCAGTAGTTGCAGAACCTGGGCCACCACTACCAGCACCAGCACCCCAAGGAGCAGCATTTCCATAACCCATAGCACCATAACCAGTTTGATTTTGAGCGCCCCATGAACTCCTAGGGGCACCAGGAGGCCCACTTGCATAACCAGCATTGGGATTCCCATAAGCTGCACCTGCAGGGCACCATAACCAGCACCTGCAGCACCATAATTGCCATAACTACCATAACCAACACCACTACTAGGACCATAACCGTAACCAGGTGCATATCCTGACGAGCCATAAGGTGGAAAGCCAGCTCCAGTACCCTGGGCACGCATGTATCTGTTGGAGTCCATTCGACCATCATAGGAACTTGAATTCCCACCAGAAGAACCATAACTCTGGTAACCTCCAAAACCACCAGAACCGCCACTCGAAGTTCGGCTAACCCCACCAGGATTGGCATCTTTAGGAAGGGCCCGCTTCACTTCAACTTGCTTGCCATCCAAATCATGAAATTTTGTGCAAAACCCTATCAACTGCATCTTCAGTGTCAAAGGAGATAAAACCAAATCCACGAGGCCGTTGAGTATTCTGGTCATACATGATTACTACATCGGTCACATGACCATAAGCCTCAAAGTATTGGCGAAACCCATCTTCAGTTAAGGTCGGAGGCAACCCACCGACAAAATCTTCTTGGTCCTGACATTTCCATCACCTCCGGAATTTCTACCCTGATTAAAATTACCAGATCTAGCAGATGTTTGCTGCTCCTCTCTAGATAAGCCCTCTTTGCCTCAACCTGGGAAACAGTTATCTTATAATTGGGAACTATCTTTGCACCAGGCAAGGCCAATAGCAATACAGATAAATACACACTTGAATGAACTAAAAATAATAAAAGCCTAAGCTGACCAAACAATACCTTAACACTAAAATTGGCGCCAAAAGAATATAGCATGCACTAAGAAAATACAAGTATAAAAGTTCATACTTCACAATAAATACAACATACTTGGGGGGGGGGAAATCATGAACCATAACCCATACAATCACAAAACAGTAAATCAAGAGAAATAGCATATAGCCCAATTGTATTTTCCTCCGCAGGTAAAAATAACCCTAAACAATCATAGACACGCCAAAACATATAAAGGAAAAAATCCCAGAAAGAATCTCACCGTTCTATCATCGATGGTGTGCTTCTCTTGAAGACAGTATCGAGGACGGACGGATCTGAGAAGACAACGAATCCAAAACCTCGAGGTCTACCAGTAACCTTATCTCTCATAACAACAGTCTGCAAGATGTCGCCATATTGACCAAGTATTCCTTTAGCCTATCCTCGTTTGTTTCCCATGAAATACCACCGATAAACAACTTCCCTGATCTGAATCCATTCCCCCTTCTTTTCTCTTCTCTTTTAGTCCCTGGAAATCTAACGTTCTTTTTTTCGAATTTCAATCTTATTTTAGGTTAGGGTTTTTGGGTTTTTTTGGGATTTGGAGAAAAAAGAAAGTGTGTGGGAGATATTTGGGGGCGATTTAGAAAGAATCAAGGGTTGTATCCTTTTGGACGGTGGAGATTGTAAATTTTTTTGGGATTAAACGGCTGTGATTTGATCATGAAACAGAACCGGTTTCATCTGGGCTAGGTTTTAATTTTAGAATAAACTACACGTTTAGTGCTTAAACTATCACTTTTGTTCCGTTTTAATTACTCAACTATTGTTTTTTCAAAATTATACTTAATATATGTTTTGATTTTATTTAATCACTCGCTATTAAAAAAATTAAAGGTAATGATATATCATCATTGAAAAGATTTAAAAAAAATGTCACGTATGTTATTCTTTAACAACAAATGACCAAAATAAAAATAAAAGTGATGTAATTATATTTAAAAATAATTGAATAACTAAAACGGAATAAAAATGACAATTAAGATATTAAAAATGTAATTTACCTTCAATTTATATAGGGTGCGATGATTAGTATTGAACATTAAAGAATTATTAAAAAAATAAAAGAATTTAAAAATTCTTTATTCAATTGAACTAATTTTTATATTTTTAAGTTGAATTATTGTATTGTTTAAAAATATAATGTCTTATCTGGGATGGAATATAATATATAATACCAATTAAAATGATATATTTATTATCATACATAAATTTAATAATTTTTATAATATATTATATATTAGAGTTCTAATCTATTTTTTATTTTTTTTGCATTGACATGATATTTTTAGTTAATATTAAAATTTAAATTTGATTTCAGACAATGTTCTTTCTTGTCTTTAAAAAGAAATTGTTACCTTGAATCCTTGGATTCTTCTGTTTCTCAAGAAACCCCCATTTCTAAGATTTCTTCAAGTTATCAGCTCAGTTACTGGCTTAAAGCTTCATAGTTTGTAGTTTATATTTCGATTTTTTTCATTTTTTTTCGAAGTTGTTCATATGACAATTTTGAAAAAGAAAATGTTACCAGACACACATTCGAATCCGAGTAACGTGTCGTACATTTTAATTCGAAAATAACATAACATGTACCATCTTTTTAAAAGAACTGGATTGTTTTTGTTGACTGCAGTGAAGAGCATAAAGAGAGATCCAGCATCAAAACCGGGAAAAAAGTATGGTTCAACATGAATGTTCAAATGTATGATCCAGTTTCGGATGAAATTCACCGCACATCGATTTTGGCACAGAGAAGAAAGTGAAACTAATTATAGATTCATGACTTGTAGAGACTACGATGATTATCGTTTACCAGGGCCGGACTAGGACGTTGGAGACCCTGTGCAAATTCTTAAAAAGAGACCCTTAAATCTCAATTTTTTTAAAGATTCGACCCTAAGTTCTGTGGTTTTGGGCTCAAAAATTTTACCATTGATCCATAATACTTTGTTTTTTTATTGTAACAATAGTAATAAATCTAATTTTTTGGGGCCTTGCCGGGGCCCTGTTCCGTCGCACATGTTGATCATGCCTAGCCCCCCTCTGATTGGTACAATCTAATGCTGCAAAGCTCCGATAGCCATGTCCTGGAAGCCATTATTTTGCATGTCCCTGCATATATCCGTCACAGTGATATGATCAAGTACTGCAATGCTCTGATATCTATCATTGATCCAAATTGGATTGTAACCGAAATTTCCGATCAAATATGCAGAGCTCTGATGTCTATTAA